ACAAAGTACAGGCCACAGTTATACTCCACAAAACAAAATGTAGATTCGGTTCTGGCCATTGTTTTTGGACCAACAATTTTATATTTGTCTGTTTTTTCAAGTCGCTCTAGAAACCCCAGTTATGATCCAAAAATAAATGTTTAGACTCTACGAATAAATATGGCTGTTATTATGATAATCTGTGTATATTTAGCGGGTTAATCGGATCTAGACTTTTCTAGAAAATGTACATTCTATGGCGTATATAACTTCCAGAAAGGCATAGACCGGACAATTTGACAGCATGAACTTTTGACTGAAACCACAACATTGATATAGTTTCTTATTCCACAATAGATGGCACAAATGTCTCCCTGATCGCTATGAACTTTTTCATATAGTTCCGGATATGGCCAAGGGATAAATCTTCATTTTTTTCGACTATGAAGGTCGGTCTAAAGGCCATATTTATAATCCATACATCACGAAATTTTACACAATGAAGAGGATCTGGTCAAATAATGGAGCGGATGATATAGATCGAGACTTCTTTCTTTAAAATTAAAAAATTTGTATCTTATGGCGTAAATTTTCAGTCCGGGAAAACATGATTCATAATTCATAGCCAGCATAAGAAAGAGGGACTTTTAACCTAATATGAATTGTATTATAATTCGTCACGAAATTTCGTATGTAAGACGGGTTCTGGCCAAAGAAGCCCTTTATTAGTAACGATCGGTTAATATTAATGGGATGAAATAGACCAAAAACTTTATTTTTTTAAACCCATAGATGCTTTAAGTGTTACCCTGACACTAGAAATTTTAGATGAGGGAGGAAGTGATCGGTCAATATTCATCGGGTCAAATCAACCTTTTTGTGCAAATCAAAGGCCTTTTGTGCAAAAAAAAATTTGGAAAATATACCAGAGTAAGAAATATCCCGAAGTTTTGTCCCGGCTCGGAAGAGTAGTAATTGTATATGATAATTGCTCCGCTTACTACTTCTGTAACCATTTTTTTTTGCAACACTGGTTTTGGACTAAACAGATGGACATTAAATTGTATAGACCCTATTATCGATTCAAATGAAGGTGTCATGCAATTTCTGAATGTTACAGGGTTTTGATTGGTGAAGTCAACATTTTTCAAAATCTTGTATATAGCTTATGGAAAATATCCGATTTGATTTTTTCATAGCCCCCTTTCAAAGGTTCCGACCGATTTTAAGTATTTTGATTTTTCACCTTATGATGAACGGTTCGGAAGTATGATGTTGTTAACTATAATTAAAAATCGAAAGATTTCTTTAACAAATATTTATTAAATTAACAATTTTAAAAACTAAATCAACAATTTTTTTGTCTAACGAATCGTTCAGTCATCACAATCGAAGTTCTCTCAAAAATGGTATTTAATGATGGTGGTGAGCAGGTACAGAGTAGGTGAACAGTCTTAGTCAAAGGTTCACGATGGACAACGGCATTGAAACCATTGACATCATCAGCAGTGTATTGAACGGTACGCTTGAAACCATCAGCATCGATCAATGAGTATTCACCACGTACAACATCACCATCACGTTCCTCAACCTGGCTCTTGGAATCGCCAGAGACGGCATCTTGTACATCATAACCGTATTTGTATTGAGGATGAGGATCAAATTCATCATCAGCCTTGGCCAAAACTTGGTGGGAAGCCACGTGAACTGGAGCAACAGTTTTGACAACCGCAGCTGGGGCAGCATGATAGACCTGGGCGGCAGGTACAATACCAGCGCTGGCAGCGGCGAGCAAAGCAAAGAAAGCTACAAACTGCAAGAAAGAAACCAATAAAGATATTTTTAATCCCACATTATCCTCACAAAAAGGGCTTTATCCGCTAACCATACCTTGAATGCCATTTTGATTGAGTTTCAAAAAACAAACAGTGAGACTGAATTCGAACTTTGGGTTGTGTGTTAACGCTTAAACGTGTAACTGTTGTATGTTGTCAAAAATTGATTTTGTCGTTGTTTTTATAGTCGAATTGTGTGTTACACATTTTTTGTTGCCTTTTTAATGTTTATTGACCGACCATTAAAAGGTTAGCCCAGCATTGATCTGAACAGGTTTCTGATACACAACAATAGCAACAAGTGTAGCACATAAACAATAACTTTGTGTCTGTCCATATGTACCGTTTGTTAATTCATTTATCTCGGTACTCGCAATGCAATTGTTATTTCTTCAATAGAAAAAAAATAAACAAAATAAATCGAATCACGCACACATAAACAATTTATCTTCTTGTGGTTAATAATTAATGTGTTAAAGGAGAGACCCTTCCGGGGCTAATTAAAGATACATAATTATTGAAAATGTTTAGCCCAGCATCGAGTCTTGTTTCTGACGAAATTAATTATGCCGGGTTATGCATGTTTTATGCTGTGTAATGAAATTCCAAACTTTTTTCGACCTTGAACAATTTCTCAAAATATAAATGACATTTTGAAAATTGTGTGTCATACATGACCTTACTTAGTCAACGTTAGAAGTCACAATTTGTTAGAGTTTTTACATTCTATTCTCAGAATAATACTTATGACCCACATATATATTATGTGTGTTAACTGTGGGCTTTTAACAATATATTGAACGTGGATCGTCTAAAGTTTAAAGAGGTTTACACTGTAAACACTTCGTAGAAAAACGAATGGTTCAATTCTATTCGGCAAATGATATTTGGCGATTCTTATAATCGATATTCGTTGTCGTGCCACTGGGACATACTTTGTGCGTCTTTCTTTGTATTTATATAAAATTGAACGAATATACCCTGGTGACCATATGTACACTGGAGCGTTATACAACCAGTAAGGAAAATGGTAAAGTCGGACGGGGCCGACTCAAGAGATGCATTCTAATAGGCCTTGCATTTTTGAAGGACCATTGGCATGAATTTGGACTAATTTAAATATGTGATCTGTGTCTATATGTGAACCGACTTAACCCTACGATCAAAAACCGGGTACATTGGTACATTTTTATACCCTCCACCATAGTATGGAGGGTATATTAAGTTTCTATTTCCTTCTATAACTCATCGAAATAATCATTTCCGACCCTATAAAGTATAGATAATCTTGATTCTATGACGATGACTGTCTGTTGTAATCACTCTAGCCTCTAAAAACAATTGATAGAACCACATATAACGGTACCCTCAATTTTCGAAATTTTAGGGTTCTTGAGGGTATTTTTCAAACGATTTCCCCGAAATTTGGTACAAAGGCTTCTAATTAGCTACATTAATTCACGCACATGTCCTCAGCAGATTTAGAACGTTGTGAACTTTTTTGGTGTCAATCGAACAAACATAAAGAGGTTGGTGCACCATTCACCTAAAATCGGACGAAAATATATATGGGAGCTATATCTAAATCTGAACCAATTTCATCCAAACTTACCAGACGTTATTGTAGACCCATTTCGATAAGTTGCGCATGATGTTGTGTCAACCGGAAACATATTACATCGCTGGTATACTATTTACTTAAAATTGGGTGAAAATATAAATGGGACCTATATATAAATTTAAGGGACCCCCCCCCCCCCCCCCCCCGCATTCTCAATTTTTTATTTTTAAGATTTTAAATGGGCTGGTAAATGAATACCAATGTTCGTAAAGGTTGGTAAGTTTGCACATATGTATATATTTGAAGATTTAAAAAGGAAGAAAAATAATTTTCCAAAATTTGTTGTTGTTGTTTTTTGTGTTCAAAGAAAAATCAAATATTCGATGGCGGGCACAATAACTCCTCACTGGAACATCGGAATCCGAAAATTCCAAAGGTGTTAGAAAGAGTACATGTCTGGCTCTCGGCTCTCTAGGATTATTGACTTCGCTCTAAAATTAACAAAATGGCGGACCTTTGAAAAAATATTTTTGGAAAATCGCAGATTTTTGACCAAAAACCAAGTTAAAAAATAAAGAAGATCTTCACTGATTGACTTTATCCTAGTTCATACGATAGCTATACACTCTTGGAAACGATTGGGTTATTAGTTTTTGAGTTAATGTGCCCGCCATTCGCAAAAGAGAAAAACGCGTTTAAAGTTTGAGAAGCCCTTTAGCCGTCACTTGATGCTGACACAATAAATCGGCTATATCTTCAAGAGTTCTTGAGATTTTCACTTGAAATTTTGTAAGGACATTCTTGAATTAATGTAGTTTCGAATTAAATCAAAAAATTTTTGACACCTAGAAAGGGGGTCCCCTTAAACCGATTTCAATAAGACTTGACACACGTTAGGCTATAATAGCGCTGTGCAAAAATGTTGTGCCATCCGGCATTGGCTCTTTGGTGCAAAATTTACCAAAAATCGGACGAAAATACATATGGGAGCTATATTTAAATCTGAAGCGATATCAACTTCAGTACTTTCGTGCCAATCGGCCTAAATTTCACTCGTTGGTACACAATTTACTAAAAATCGGACTAAATATATATGGGAGCTATATCAAAATCTGAACTGGTTTTGCCAATTTCAAGAGCGTTGGTTTAAATAAATGGTTTGTATCAAATTTCATACCCCTCGGATAATAAAAGCGAACTGCGATTGGTTTACAATTTAACATGGACAGACATGCATAAATCGACTCAGAAACTGATTCTATGTACATTCTCAAAAGAAACAATGAGTCCACCTCGTTTCCGTTTGCCTGTTGCAGAAAAATATGTACAAAGACATAATACTCTGTACTATAGAGTGCTAAAGGGTATAATAAATAATAATTTATGGAATTGTCTCAATTTTTGCTTGGACAAACAAATATATAAAAATGGCTAGAAACAAATACAGTAGGGGAGACTGGGGCACCTTCGGCACTTTTTTTTAGAGCTCTATATCTCAGTACTTATTCAACATATATAACAACTTTATGGCTGATTATTGTCCTCTGACACTTAATTATAAAAAATAGTTCCAAAAAGATATAAAAAAATAGTATTAGTTAAAAAATTTTACAGTTTTGTAAAAAAAGTCAAATTCGCCGAATGTGCCCCAACCCGGGGTAGCTTCGGCATTTGATGGGGCACATTCGGCACCATAGTCATAGCCGGGTAATTGTCATCGTTATCAGTCTAGTTGAAATTCTGATCACCTAAAGGCTCTATTTGGTTTTAATACTCCACACAATGTTTGAATTATATGACTTTATTTTCTAGCCGCGGACGTTTACATCTCAAGTTCGCACACACCATCAGGAATAGGGATTTTCTATCGCATTTTCGTCAATACAAGCACGTTTGACTTTATATATGCAATTTCGAACCATATTAAAGGATTAGTTTTAAAGACAAACTCAAAAACATTTTAAGGAAATAATATTGCACAATCTGTATATGGCCGAATGTGCCCCACTTTAAAATGCCGAATGTACCCCGAATGTACTTTTTATAGTTTTTTTCATTTTTTTCGATCATTTTTGTAAAAACCTTACATTTTTAAATATTTTTATAATAATACACATCGTAGTTAACCACTTTTTAATAATATTGTCTTAAAAATTTAAAAAGTTTTATACACGAAATTCTTACGAAATGGAATTGAAATATTACAGAAACATCTATAAAAATACAAAAACCCATGTATCTAAATAAGCTTATTAGCTAGAAATTTCAAACTTTGTGTCAGTTATTTATTTCGATATTCGATACCTTTGTATCGAAACTAGTGATGTACGGTGAGAGCTTCATATCAAAAACGCGATTGCCGAAGGTGCCCCAGTCTCCCCTACTCCGATAACAGCTAATTACCAGTGATTGTGAAATTAATTTATCACAGAATATGATATCGGAAAAATATTCCTTCAATAAATCAGTGTTTTCTCGAATTATTATTTGATTTTATACAGCTATATCAGTAGTGATAGTACAGCATTGAGAAATGCTGCAAAAGAACATTAGTCACGGATCATCAGTTCGTACTGATCAACAAATTGTTATTATAACGGTACGACCCCATTTTCGGTACTTTATATCTTCCCATTGCACATAGCCCTCATATTGAAAATAAAATAGCTTCTTTCCAATTTAATGATTTTAATATCGCTCCCATACAAAGGCCCCTCCTAATTTGGTTTTTCATTCTCCCAAATAAACAGCCTACCATGCCATAGTCACATTACGAAGTACCCGACTATTTTCTTAATAAATTTTAATTTTTTTGAACATTGGAAATTCAAAAACATAGCTTGAAACTACACACTTGTTTGTGATAAAACCAAAAATTCTGAAAATTTTTAAAAATTTCAGAAAGAAATAAAGGTGCTAGATCAATTTTTTGTGCTAAACGAGTTTAATCAATGATAAATCTAGTTCTAAAAGTGCTAATTTGGCAACACTGGTGGCAGATGTGTAGGGTATCATATGGTCGGCCCCGTCCCACTATACTACTCTGCTCACTGGTTTGAATATTATCTTTTCAGAGTATACAAAAAATAGGGATAAATAATGGGATAACATAGTTCCCATATAAATCTCACGACCGATTTAAGGAATTTTTAATGCACACCACGCGATGTAGGGTATAAAAAGTTCTGTTGTCACAGATATGACTATAATTGACCTCAACGACATCACATAATCACTTTTTCCAAACCCCTTTAATATTTTTGATTGAAACTAAACAGAGTTCTATGGATTTTAAAAGAATTTGTCTATTTGTTTAATACTACAGAAATTACAATAACAAAAAAAGCTTTCAGCCACATTATGATAAACAAAAAATGACATTTAATGGTGATGGGAGGAATAGGTGGTGGTATAGGCTGGAGCTGAGTAATGGGTATAAGCTGGTGCAGCATAATGAGCAACTGGAGCAACAGTCTTAACAACAGCAGCAGGAGCAGCAGCTACAA